TTTTTTTTTTTTTTTTTTTTCTCCCAAGAGAAACAGAAAATTATCGAGCTCGCTTCGCTACCAGTTGATTTCTTAAATTCTCCGTGTCTCTCCATCGTTTTTTATGCAAATGCGGCTGCTTTCAGCGTGCAGTCAACATTTAATCCGACCCCATGTCGCATGCATGATAAATAAGCGCACGCCGTACAGTTACAGGTTGTAATTATCGCGGAGTATCTGACACTCTTGTGCCAAGAAGAGACCCCCGGCCGTTCAGCTTTTTCTATCCTTACCAAGGGGGGCCACATATTGTTCTAGCCTGGCAGAATACCAACATCGTCTCACGTTTCCCACCGGGACACAACGATACCTTATATATATATATATATATACTTGGAAATAATCCCCTGCCTTCCTGTCCTTTTAAAATGATTTACCGCGCTCTTCTCACTTGGAAGATGATCCAAACATTTTTCTAATTTTCTACGTGAGATTTCCTTTCTTGCATCCTACTAAAATTCCTCTGCTCCGTCATGATTATTAATCGAAAACATTAAGGTGGTAATTAAATTCTTTCTAAAAAAAAAAATATATAATTCAAAGATTACGGCATTACATTTATATCCACGATCTATACTGATTAATTATCCTGACATTAAGAGCTATAACTTGCAATAATGTTAATTGTGCAAACTGACTGAATGATTTCGTTCAATTCCTCATCGCCAGTGCCTAGAAATTGAAATGATCAACAGGGAGATCTCTATCCAGTCGGATTCAAATGTCCACCACTTGATAGGTGGAGAAGAAGCTTCTGTCCTGCCTTCCTGTCCTTTTAAAATGATTTACCGCGCTCCCAAGGTTTTTCCTAATTTTCTACGTGTCGATTCGTCCCATTCGTTAATTTCACAATCAACAGCACATCTGTTGATTGAGATTTCCTTTCTTGCATCCTACTAAAATTCCTCCGCTCCGTCATGATTAATGATTTGCAATCTCTCAATAAAAGACATTAAGGTGGTAATGTTGAACGATACATAAGTGTCTAAATTCTTTCTAAAAAAAATATATATAATTCAACGATCACGACATCTAACTTGCGATGTTGTACCATTTTCTCGTTAATTGTACAAACTGACTGCCGTCAATGATTTCGTTCAATTCTCCATCGCTTAGAAATTGAAATGATCAACAGGGAGATCTCTATCCAGTCGGATTCAAATGTCCACTTGGTGGAGAAGAAGCTTTGAGAAGACACAATTTCCAAAAGAACGAGAGAGTTTCTCTAAAGAAATTCATTCAGCAAATCAACAGCTGATCGATCTCTTCTCCTGTGTAATCCGAGTGCCAATTAAAAAGTCTGCGTTTTCAGTCTATATATTCGTCGTGTGCCATTCCTCAATGTGATTAAATCAATGAGATTTTCCAAAGTTTCTTTCTTCAATTCCGTGCGAATGGAAGAGCCTGCGGACAACGGAAGAGTTAGAAAGAGAAGAGAGAGAGAGAGAGAGAGAGAGAGAAAAGGAGAGGAATCGTCTGCCGCGGTGACTGCGACGTGTTAATTATCCAAATGTTCCAAGTTCACGGTTCGAGTGATCGACGAGTTTCACCGCCTCCTCGCTTTGTGCCTCGCATCCACTTCCGGGCTGCTTTCAGAGCGGCGAGGAGAAAACAGAGCAAAAAGACTCCGTCTTCTTATCAAGATTTAAAATTCCGTCTGACGCTTTACAAGCAGACAGTCGATACGAGTACGTGCACAGGGAATACAGAGGGAACACACGACGAGGAAGAATAATGGCATATGCACAAAGGATCTACACCAGCGGTTTTCTATTTTTTTCTCTCCCCCCTCGTTGAAATTTCCCTCCAAGTATTGATCCATCAGACCTCCTTTAGGAAAGTTTCTTTGCTTCTTTTTTTTCTAAAAAAAAAAGAAGGACTCGATTGACATTGACAATTAGGTGTTCGTGCTCTTGAGTTTGCGATGGTCATGTCTCGTGGCACACGCCTAGATGAAACCTACGTTTCACGTAGCTTCACATGCTTGCGCCACGTTATAGTGTCGTAACTCACAAGAGTGTTTGAATACGTTTGTCAGTCCGGGTACGTTTGAGAGGAGACGTTTGTAACTTCTCATCGGGGACTTGACTCGGGATTAAAGCGGATTGTGTGTGGCCGCCAGGCGATGCAAAAGAATATTTACGACTCCGCTCGACTGCGTTCCAAAGTAGTGGCACACGCTGGCTTTTGACCCATTTCGAGCCTCGCAAGCTCTCGTAGCCTTAAAACAGCACTGCTATTCCAGTCTGTGTGCCACCGACTAGTTTTAGCATGCTGCATGCGAGCAGCAAGTCTTCATTTTCTTCGATCACCGTTTTCGATAAGCCTTAATTCGTTCGATTAGAATGACTCCAATATACCGGACATTCTTGCATAGAAGAATGAAAATGTGTAGATTAAACGTTGTAAGTTTACAAGGTGGAAACTTCATGTATTCCTGGAGGTGAGAAATGATTTCTGAAGGAAGATTATTCGTTTTAGCAAAGTCCAGTGAAGATTATTATCTTCTAAAGTAAGAGGTATCTGAGGTATTGATGACAGTGGTTGTTGATGATTAACTATGAC